AGCACTAATCCATTAGCTTGGTCGGCAGTCCACTGTCATACCAGTGGTTGTTTAAGCCTGGCCAAGCTGCATCAAAGTGCTCAGATCGCGATATTTTCCGACGGTCCCGATCTCGAAGTGTTTCTACATCGCCCGCATTATTGCTTTTAGAATCGCCACTGCCAATTTGATTGCCCCCGGCATGAAGCCGGGGTCCCTATCACTTCTAGCGACTTCCAGCCAAGTTCCCCCTAAGGACGCATGGCTGGGAATTCGTGTAGTGCAATTAGTGCTCCAGTTTTCAGAAAGCTTTTTATATCTCATTAGCAGGGAAACTCAAATAGACAATTTTCTTCTCCACAAAAAATCATTTTGTTTGCCCGTCGCTCACGTTTTACGCATTCTTGCGCCATCTGTTGGGTAAGCGGCAATTTTTCAATACTTGTCTAGAGCGAAGCAGCATGCTTTGTGATGTCCATGCTGATGAAACAGACATTTTTGAGTTACAGAAAACTGGTCACAAACTAATTTGGCCGTGAAAATATACAAGGCTCAGTGCTACACTACTTAAAGAAAACTGAAGTATATAAACAGTATAACAAATAAGTGGTCACCGAAACCAAGGAACCGAACAATGCTTTCATCGCTTGGGAGTGCGTTACGCTTCACCAGCCTTTTTGACGATCAATGGCGCAACATTGTCACCGGTTGCTTCATTGTGCCGATTGTGACTTCCATCGCAATAAGGCCACTAAAAACTTTCAAAACTAAAACAACAAAAGCGATGACACAATGCAAATTTAAAGCACATAAACCTTTTCACGACAGAAGAATGAAAAACCCAAAACCAAAAATCAATCTTAAAAATAAATAGCAACGCGCACCAGACTAGCCGGTGTGACCATGTGTTTTATGCGAGTAATTGTAATAAATAGCAACGCGCACCAGACTAGCCGGTGCGATCATGCGTCTTTGTGCAGTTCAACCCATCGAACGATTGCCTGTTAATGATTTTCACTTCCTTGTATTTTAGTCTATGCAAAAATAGTTCTACCATCGAACGATTGCCTACTAATGATTTTCACTGCTTTGTACTTTAGTCTATGCAAAAATAGTTCAAATATTAAAAAACAGTTAAAAATTTCACGCACCAGCACATGAAAGCTT